TACCAAAATATACATTCTCAGTTTCAAAATATACCGTAAGTCCTCATATTCTGGTAAATAAAACCATTTAATTGGAATTCTTAGCATTAAAGCCCAGTACTCAGATACGCAAAATTGTGTTATTATATTCGAGGAATATGCTTGTCAGTGAGACCCTCACAAAATTATGAGAATTGATTTTGACGCTAACAGTTATTTTCAAACAACCTAGAAAAACATATAAAAAATGTTTAAATATTTCGAAAAATATACTCATCCTTTATATAAGTAAAAAATATACATATATTATAGGCTTTCCTTTTATTGTTACCACAATTGGATTTACTCAAAATTATGCCGCACCAGCAGAAATCGAGCGTGTTTTATAGTGAGGCGAATGACTGCATGGCTGGTCTGAAAACCACAACACAGGATGCCCTGGAAAGCGGTGCAAAGAAACAAACAGCACGTCCTGAAGTATTAAAGAAAATTGTGCATTTTCGTTCCTTCAAGTCGAATCAGTAAGTGGAAGATTCAGTTTAATAGATTCCCATTTATCAGTGTACTCCTGTCTCTTGCAGATATTCAGCAGATGAGACGTTTGTGCCGCAAGATAAGGATCCTCTTGTTTCCAGCTATTCCAAGGACTACAGCTGGACAGGCCTTGGCTCTAAATTTCGAAAATGTGTGCCCGTAGAAACCTCGCCAGATCCGGACTTTTGCCGCCGACAAGTTAATCCATTTTACAGCATAACCTCGAGCCCATTCAAATTCATGGATGATCATCTCAACATGGAACTGGTGACTGAGCATCGAAAGAAAATTGACTTCTTCAGACAGCTAAGGTAAGGTTCTTGTCGGTTAAAAATTATTTAATGAAATCGTAAATAACCAGCAAAAATGTTTACTTGCAGAAATCAATCTCAAATTTTCACAGATTCATAGAGTACACAATAAATAAATAAATAATTGACAAATAAACCAAATCGATTGGGTAGTTGGAAAAAAATTCAATTTGGTATTAGGGTGCAATAAGTTTGAGAAACACTGCTGAAACATGCACTTGTCAACACTGGCAAACTGAATTTAATTTAATAACTTTTTTTTTTTAGATCAAAGTATGCCATGAAATTTGAAATATCACTTGCTTTTGTTTCAACCAATTTAATTTCATTCATTCGTAACTATTCGCTTGAGTGTGACATTAAAATTTTAGCTCCATAAATAATCCGATTAAAAAAAAAAAAACTGCAATTGAATTTAATAAAATTTTGACTTTATTTGTTCAAAGTATGCCATGAAATTTTAAATTTCAATCAATTCAATTTCATTCATTCGTGAACTTTTCGCTTGAGTGTGACATTGAAACTTTAGCTCCATAAATAACCAGATTAAAAAAAAAAAAAAAACTAAAATGATTTCAAATATTTGTGTTGGTGTGCGTCCTTTCGGGTCCTTTGATGCTTCGTCGTGGCAGGTGACAAATGGCTGCGCCTTACAAAGCCGCAATGGTTCATCCGTCTTTGGTGAGCGTGAAATAGATCAAAATTCAACATATTCCTAATTCGTTTGTCCTATTTGAAGACTTTGTGTTCGACCATGAGGCCACAAACTCGCATATTTTCAATTGCATGGCCAAGCCCATTGTGCACAAAGTGATATCAGGAAACAATGGAACACTAATTACATACGGTGGCACATCATCAGGTATGCTAAATGCCCATCAATGTAGCCTCGCAGGAATTAAAGTTTCGGAACTTCACTTAGGCAAAACCCATACAATGCTGGGCGATGACCAGAACCCAGGGGTAATAGAGCTGGCAACAAAGGAAATATTTGAGACGATACGCAAAGACAAGCAACGCAGCTTTCTGCTGCGTCTTCAGTTCATAGAAATTAACAATTAATCATAACCGATCTGATTAAAAAGCGGCAGACTGAAATAAAGATAAAGGATACTGGAAATGGTAATGTGGCTGTCCTCTGCCTTCTGGCTAAAGGACAGTTGAATGCTCTCCAGCTTTGCGTTGGCATCATCGGCCAGCAGACGTTCAAATTCCACACACTTGTCGCAGATTATCTCGGGCATCGATGTATCCACTATGGGGGAGCGCATCCGTTCCTCCTTGCTGTTGCGCAGGACATCGCGAGACAATTCGTCGAGACTTTTCTGCAGATTTTCAATGGTTAAATCCTTCTCGGACAGGGCCGACAGAAGATCCGTCTCTCGCAGCTTTGACTTGGTTTTGTGGGACTCATATTCGAACTCCAAGCTAACAGCCTCACGATTATAAAACTCCAACTTCTCCTTCATGGTCTGCAGTTTCTCCTCGTACTCCAAGTTCTTGGCATTGGCTGCCTGTAGCTCGGCCTGCAGCTCATCGCATCTAAAACAGACAGTGGAACGTTGCTATAATTCACTCGACTAGACTTTTGGTTGCATTTAGGAATGTGTGTTGTTAATATTTAGGAAACGAATTTTTGATTTATCCTGATTTTGTGTGTANTGTGTTCGACCATGAGGCCACAAACTCGCATATTTTCAATTGCATGGCCAAGCCCATTGTGCACAAAGTGATATCAGGAAACAATGGAACACTAATTACATACGGTGGCACATCATCAGGTATGCTAAATGCCCATCAATGTAGCCTCGCAGGAATTAAAGTTTCGGAACTTCACTTAGGCAAAACCCATACAATGCTGGGCGATGACCAGAACCCAGGGGTAATAGAGCTGGCAACAAAGGAAATATTTGAGACGATACGCAAAGACAAGCAACGCAGCTTTCTGCTGCGTCTTCAGTTCATAGAAATAAACAATAAAATCATAACCGATCTGATTAAAAAGCGGCATACTGAAATAAAGATTAAGGATACTGGAAATGGTAATGTGAAGGTGAGCTCCGAAGAGTACTTGGTGAGCAGCAAGGAGGAGCTGTTGCAGTGGCTCTTCAAGGGGAAAAAAAAGCGCTCCAAGCGCTCGCACGCCATACTTCGCATTGTAAGTTAATCCTTAGATACTCTGCTGCATTCCCCATGTACATATTTCCTCTACTTAGATCATCGAGTCGCGCTCCATTAGTGCTCAACGGGATGAACCAGTCATGCAAAGTGTTTTGAATTTGGTGGATCTGGCTGGGTGTAGCAACATAATGCACATGTCAAACAACAATGTTAGCTTCCGAGACCAGCAGCTGAATCAGCTACTGGGCGCGTCTCTTGGCGGCAATGCGTGCACCGGCATCATCTGCACGGCCAATCCAAACAATTTTCTGGAGACGAGAAAAACCCTGCAATTTGCCAGTCGAGTCCGAAAAGTATGCAACCGGCCGCTGGTCAACGTGGTAGCTTACAAGGCGACAATGATGAAGCAACAAGATCTAAAAACAAAGAAGCTCAGGGAGCAATTGGCCAAGGAGGAGCGAGTCATGCTAGGTAGCCCCCGAGTTGATGAACAGCAAGATGGCTGCACGGAGTGCACTGGACTGTGAGTACTTTTTTTGCCTTTGTTGGGTACTAATTCTTGCCATGGGAAGGGAATATGTCCAAAAGAACATTGACAGACAGCGAGGAAAATATTCTGAGCATAACATAACATTTATTATCACAAAGCTCTCCGCTCCCAAATATTTTACATTGTCTCGTTATTTATCAGCGGGCAAAGTGGACAGTGAGGGTTCGTTTCCGAGCTGTTGAGCTGTATTATCTTTGTGGCGCATTTTTCGCAGAACGAATGACCACAATTCACGAACTTGGGCTCCCGCTTTGGCAGCATACAAAGTGTACACATTTCATGACTGATCCACGGAGTCACTTTTTTCTTGTCGATTTTCTTGTCTGCACTGGCAATGTCCTTTTCCATTTTGATTTCTTTGAGCCTATCACAGTATCTATGGGGCATTAGGTCTAAGAATTAACTGGTTTTGGACTAAACATTAACTTACTGTATCGTTAAGTATACGTTTGCACGGCTAAGAAAATTAGAATAATACAAACTCTGACAGCTGGCAAATACGAACAAAATCTCATGGCATGCTTTGGTCCTGAGCAAACTTTCCTTGTAAACAGTGTTGATAGGTTTTTGCATTTAAGGGTGGGTTTTTACAATCTCACCTGTCATCCATTACCTTAATTGTAGCTTAAAATTAATTAATTAAAAAGCTATGGTATTTAAGAGCTATGAGCTTTAGAGCTTATGATGCTTTGATGTGATTCCGACTTGAAAGATGAAAATCTTTTTGTTGAATGGGTCTATAGTTGAAATGAAATGAAATGGAAAGGTAACTCTCTGCTCTTTTTATTCAAATTCCGATTGAGAAACCAACTTCAGCGCGCCAATCATTATCGATGAGCAATGCTGCCTGTCACAACAATCGATCTCGCTCTTGTTCTCTCTTTTGCTTTCATTCGCTCTCTCAGCGCGAACTTCGCTAGAAAAGAGAATTGAGAATAAAAACAAACAACCAGTGACAAGAAGAAGACGAACCGAGACCCACTCCAGAGTGAGGGCAAGGTGCCTGGCCGTTTGCTGATTTTAGCCCGTTTCGCTCATCAATTCGGCCCGAACTGATGACGGGCCTGCTGTCGATCGATTGAAGCAAAAGCGCGATAAAGCAAACTTGATAATTTCATTCCGAAACTTCTTGATTATTTGCTATTCCAAAATGCTGCCTGGCCCCAAGCTCATTGTGGCCGCCGCGACACCGCAGATCACAGTCCAGCGCTCCACCGTCTGCTCCAACGTTTATTGCGTTTGATTTAGCTGATCGGTGACGTCGTTGCAACTACTCTACTGCTACGGTCGACAGTGATGTAACGCCCACATAGACAAAAGACTGGCTCATTACCATTTCGTATGTATGTATGAATCTATCAGCCACCACAATGGTATGGGAGAGGGGAAAAGAGAGGTAACTCCAAACAACCTGAATACAGGCCGCGAACGGCTGCTTCTATTTATAGGGCGCCCCGACCATCAAAAAGTGATCCCCCAGTTGCAGACAGCAGCAAGATTCGGCTGGCCAGAATGCAGCCACGGGGAAACATAAACATTAATACACATTTGTTTTATAACTTGCGTCTACAAATTATTCAATTTACAAATTTTAAATTTCAGCTGCAAAGCTTTCATAGAGAAGTTGGTTGATCGTCCCCAGCTTGAGATGTTACTGAAGGAGGATGTTCATGCAACTCTTCACGAACTTTGCCGCGATGTCCTGCGCAGCACCAGGGACGTTTGCCCCGAGCTGCAGTCAAGCTGCGAGAGAATGTTCCACAATTGTGTGGAGCTTGAACGCCTCCAGGCCGAAGGCGAGTCCGTGTGTGATGGGGCAATCGAGCTCACTCAGCGTGAGCTGCAAGCGGAAATCGCCGAGATGCGGACTAAGCTGGAAGATGCCCAGTTGAGTTACGACATGGCCAAGTGCCAGGTGTCGGAGATAACGGAGGACTGCAATCGTCTCAATCTTCAGCTATCCACTGCCCAGGCCGACAATGCCCAACTGCAGGCAAAGAACGATCAACTTCAGCAGATATGTCAGACCCAGCAGCAGGCCATTCAAGCCATGCAGGCAGACTACTATGACCTCCAGCAGAAGTTCGAAAAGGTGCAGCAGGATTACGAGGATTTGGGACGAACCTCCAAGGCCAACAAAGATCAGTGTCTACAGCTGGAGGCCGACAACACGGCACTTCAGGCGGAGATTGTCACACTCAAGGAGCGCGTGGAGCAGGCACAGCGCGTTCTCTTGGAATCTAGTAATCAAAAGGCCCTCGCGGAGCAACTGAAAGAAAAAAATGATGAGCTCAAAGCAGAGCTGTCGGATGTGCAGTCGAGCTTCCAGGAAATGCAGCGCAAATATGACTGCTTGTCCAACGATCTAATGGAGAGCGTAGAGGAGTGTGATGGCTTGCGTAAAGAGTGCAACGCTTTGCGTGAGGAGCTCAAGCAGCGGTCGACGCCCAGCTATGACATCGAGTCCATGAAGAGCTCTGGCGTCGGCACAGAGTGCAGTGAGGCCGATCTAGAGTCGGAGACAGATAGCGGATTTTTGGAGAAGTTTGTCAAGCTGTCAGATTCGCTGCACGAGATCGAGCTGCAGCAGAGCTCGGGCTGCAGTCGCCTCTTCAGGGCTACCGAGATTCAGGAGCACAATGTGCCCGGGCTGAAGCTCTGGCTCGAGCCTGCTACAAACATAAACACCGTCGCGCACACGCTCGATGACGATGCAGAAGATGCCGTGTGCCTGAAGGGCGTGCTGCGACAGCACAGGTTCCAGATCATCAGGCTAACCCAGGAGACTGCACCCGCTCAAGATGCGGAGAAGGGACTAGTTCAATTATTGCTGGTGGAAAGAACAGCGATGCAAAGAGATCTTAAGCTACTCACAGAAGCGAATGCTGCCTTGAAGGTAAGCAATGCGAATGAAGCTCTTGGCGAATCTAAAACTTAGTTTTTTGTTTATTTGCAGAAAGAACTGGGTAATGGTGAAGTCTTGACCATGAGCATCGAAGTAAATGAAAAACTTCTAGAATCAATGGTAAGTGAACAAGCACAACAATTAACTTAATCCATTCTGATGTGTATTCAATGTATTTTTAGAACGAACGAGAGGAGCAGTTTAAGATCCAGCTGAATGTTAAAGAAGAAGAGATTTCCCTCCTAGAGTCGAAATTAAAAACGAAGAGTGCTGAAGTTAAAGAAATGAAGGAGAGATGTATAATAATGCGCCAGGACATGGACGAGGCTCCGAAGTCAGCGGCTCAACTCAAGGCAAAGGAAGCAGCTTCTGCGGTCGTCCAGGATTCGCTAAAGAACAAAAATTTGGCTCTGGATAAGGTAAATATAGAGCTTTTATCCTCCTGAAGTTAACAAGTTGATTTGGTTATTATTTTCTTAGGAAAAACCAAAAGCCTCTCTGAATTGCAAGGAAGTGTTGCCAGTTGTCCGCCGCACTGTGGTGAAACGTGGTCCCGAGAAGGAACCTACCTCCAGTACTTTGACCGTTCCTGAAAAGTGGGATGTGAGTATTAAGTAAAACCCTGTAACTTGATATGGGATCTAATGCTAAAACTTCTTTCTTGCGCAGAAATCGGCAGAATCGAGTAGAATAAAACGCAGACGCCTTCACGACATGCGTCGGAGGATCGACTGAGCAAATCATTTGAATTTCTTATTAATTATTTATCTTGTTATCACGCTTATTTATTTATTTATTATTTTATTTAATATAAAATAAGCTACTAATACCAACTATTCGTAAATTTGCTCGACGCATAAACGATGCAGCTGCAGCCCTGGCAGCAAGTGCGTTATTTTGCGATATGTTATCGAAAGTGAATGGCTGGTGTGTTGCAAATGGTATATTTGATGAATATCATCCGTTTCTAAAATTCCATTTTGTAAGGTATTTTCAAGAAAAAATACCATTCCCTTGAAGATTTCCGCTCTTCTTCGTAGGGATTTTTCTCTCTCGCAACATGGGCATCTTTATTACATCCCCACTTACGTTGAATTCCAAAACCTTACGTGTTTGCCGTTGGCAAGATAATTTGTATGGGCCAGCAACATACTGCAAAAAGTGAGCAGAACTGTTCCCCAATATCTGTCACGGAATAAGCAAAATTTAGTACCCTTGGAGGTATGGATATCCTCAAATTAAGGAAATTTGGGAAATCTGTATTCCCAATCAATGTAAAAAGAAGCGCATTTGTGTTGGTGAGCCATCTCAACGAAATTTTGCAGATTGTAGATACCGAGAATGTATCTAGATCGGTATATCTTACAAATAGTTATGTGTACATAGAAAACCTATGAAGAACATGTCAGTCTAAGACAAAGTCATTGTTAATATTTAAAAGCTGCTGGTAAAATGGATTTGTATGCTTAGGTATAGAAAATAGGGTACACAAGGGCCCATACTATTGATTGGCCACCAACCAATTTTCAAATGGCCTAACATCCATTCCCAGCCACGTAACGTTTAATGCCATGCTTTTGCATTTGGGAGACCTTTTTAGTTTTTTTTAACCTTGTCTTGCAATTAATCTATTAAAGATAAGTCTTGAAAATAAGCCAGTCTTGTGGAGAATTGAATGATGATTTGAGTAAAATTACAGTTTTAAAGCTGAGAGTCCTAATTAGTTGGTAATATTAAACAGGATTTCAAAGTCGAGGAAAACGATTTGATATTTACGGTATATTTACAGTATATTTTGAAAATGAAAGGGTTTATTTCGGTGTATTAATGAGGGTCTGTCGGTATATTTTATCGACAATTCCGCGGTCACACTGACGCTAAAGCAAAACAGAAAATTATAGTAAAAAATTAGCTAATTCGACTCAATCAGCCATGAACTCGGCAACAAAGGTAGGTGCAACGCCGTCATATTGTCCGTCCCCGTGCGAAGCACCAAATCCGATGCCCTGGGCTGCATTTGATTTGTGCGGGAAAGTGGCGGCACGGTGCCTCAAGTGTCATTCGTCTCCGTCTCCCTCCTTCGAGTGGGAAATTTGTTGTTCCATGACAGGGGCGGAGGGCGCGTATGTTTTGAATTTGCAAAGCACGTTAATGCCGACAACAACAGCTGCCCTGCGCCCACCCCCATGTTGCACCAAGTGAAACGTCATTTTTATCTGCAGGTTGGGGAGATTTTCACGGCCGCCGGACAAGCTTTCAGCCGATTGGGCGACCTCACCATGCAACTGCATCCAAATGCCGAATCCCCGTCCGGGTAAGTGTGTCATCCGAAGCCGGTTGCAAGGCTCGAGGCGCTAATCATGGTGTTTTTGCATGTTCCCTCGCTATGTGGCGCCCAGTAAGTGGACGGACGAGGAAATCGACATGTTGCACTCGTCGATTATGCGCTTCTCGGACGACCTTAGCATAATCAGTCTTAGCATTAAGAACCGTACAGTGTAAGTGCTCATAGCGAGAGAACATGACTCTTCCGGGTACCACAGCACACACTAACATCCGAATACTTCCATCTTGCCACACATCTTGCAGCTCCCAGATACGGCAAGCCCTGAAGAAGAAGGCCTTCGAGGACGCCGGCATACCTGCGAAGCAAGTGCCTGTCCAACAGGTGCAACATGTCATCCAAACAATACCCCAGCTGCCGGTCATCCAGCAGCAGCTGCCGACAGTGACCACCCAGCTTCAGCCGCCGCTCCAGTCCCATCAGCCCCAGCCTCAAGTATTCAAGACACAGACTGTGCAGCAACTGCCCCTACAACAGCAGCAGCAACAGCAACAGCACCAACATCAGCCGCAGAACTCGAACATGGCTGCCAATATCCAGCATGTGCAGCTGGTGACGCATCCCAAGCAGATCCTCCTACAGCAGCATCAACAGCAGCAGCAGCAGCAGCTGCCGCAGACAACAACGACGACGGTGACCATCAAGCAGTACCAGCAAATGCAACAGCAAAAGGCGGCAGCCGCAGCCGCAGCCGCGGCAGCAGCAGCAGCGGCAGCGGCAGCCAACACGCCGACAATCACGGAGAATATCATCATACAGCAGCCCACATCAACGACGGCGGCGGCAGTGGCAGTGGCGCTACAGCACCAGACGCATGCGCATCCGGTTCATTCGGTGGCAACGTCCGCGTCGACGCAGTTAATTGTGCCGTCGGTCACCACAGTATTGTCGCCGAGCACGGGGCCAGTGGTGGGCACGGTGGCGATTGCCGACGATGTGGTTAGTACAACATCCACCCCCTCAACATCGGCCAGCACGGGCCTCAAGTGCGGCCCGGATGTCTCGATGACACTGAACCGCATCAACGTGCAGGAGAACGAGGTGGATGCCGAGGAATGCCTGCCGGCGGAGGTGGTCAAGCTGGATTTTGTCAGCGAAGAGGTTGCAGGGTGAGCCCCCAACCCCAGCAGAACGTTCCCCGAACAAGTTGAGGATTTCTATTACTAGATAAGACACCGAAGCAGCTGAATGGATCACCCGATTCGCCACACATCTAGTTCGAAGGAAACTCTTTAACAAACGGTACGACCTACCGCCCCATCCCCCCCTAGACTAAGCCTAAAATGTTAAGTGTTGTCATATTTGATATACCTTGAAATCACTCCATTTGTTTCCAAACCGAACCCCTCTGAGCCACTGAGCAAACGACCTCAAACTGATTTGTGTACAGACGGACAGATTCTCCCTGCCAGTATTCTGTTTCGGGTTTTGGCTTAGGCTTGGACCGACTCACGGCGGTAGATATATTGAATACGGGAGCGAGGAATGCTGCACCTAGATTTAAACAACAAAATGCAAGACACAATAGTGCAAAGTACATAGCGATTGTATAAGATGATGAGTGAAATAAACGAGAATATTTTAAGACGTGCCAAGGGTTTATTTTAAAGATGACAAAAGGGTCAAGAGTCTCAGAAGAGTTAATTAATTACCATAAATTATGTGGTGCATATTTTATCAAAGTTCCTATACAAAGAGCCGTTGAAGACTAAGCAGGTTCTTCTGGAACCATCCTCTCTATCCTCATACTTCTTCCCACAGAAAGTTGGCAGTTATTGAGAAAGTACAGTACCCACCACCCATAGGATTTTCCTCCCTTCATCTATAATGTTTAAACCCTAAAAGGATTAATGAACATTTTTGAAAATTACAAATGCTTTTACAGCTAACTGAAGCTCAGGCAGATAGCTAATCTGCTAAAAAATTGCATCAAAGTGAAATTATTTTTAAACTACATTGAAACCTTTTAAATTTGAAATTGCCGCTGACCTTTTGGCCCATCGATGTCCTTTAGCCCAGGTATCGATGCTTTATTTGGGTTTATCCTACCTATCCGTATTTCTCCTTGCGCATTGACATGTGAACGGCGTTTTGGATTTTCGATCAACCAAAGGAGCATTAGCCCATTGTCGACCAGGGCGTAAAAGCCCCGTGGAGTAAATACTTACTTTAAGCGCAGCTCAAGTTAAATATATAAGTAAACAGAATAGATAGCTTGGATCTTAAAGAAGAATGCACAAACAAATGTATATTCTGGTGCTGTTTATGCATCTGTTTTAATAGAAGTCGTTTAAATGGGTTAAGTTCGATCACTCATCTTAAATTGTCTATCGATAGCAGCAAAAATACAAATACATCAAAAACAACAACAGCTGCTCCTAAATTAAATTATATTATTAGGGAAATATGAGGCTACGACTTTTGCTGGCATTGATAGCGTGCTTTTCTGGTTCTCTAGCATACAGGCCGGTGGTGATACTCCATGGCATACTGTCTGGTGCGGATTCCATGGACTTTTTGGTGCGGGAAATCGAAGAGGTTCGTAATTGACTTCCCCCTTTTGTTATTGTTTAAACTCAATGACAAGTTCAAAGTCGAAGCAAACAACGTAATAGAATGCATTATCTGACATCCGCAGCTGCATCGGGGCACAATAGTCTACAATTGCGACAAATTCAGCGGCTGGTACAGCCTGGAGAACGCCTGGCGTCAGGTTGAGCAGATTCGGGATTACTTGAGCGATGTTGGAAAACAGCACCCGGAAGGCATCAATGTGTTGGGTGTGTTTGTTTGAAATGCACGTTTATAGAGGGTAACTCAATCAATCTACATATGTATATATTGTACAGGCTACTCGCAGGGCGGCCTCTTGGCACGCGCGGCCATCCAAAGTCTGCCCGATCACAATGTAAAAACCTTTATATCGCTGTCTTCGCCGCAAGCGGGACAATACGGAAGTGAGTAAGCATTCGTACGATCACTGTAACGCTTAACAATATTTCCTTTAATGATAGCCAGCTTCCTGCATCTGATATTTCCTGATTTGGCGGCAAAGACAGCCTTTGAGCTCTTCTATTCGACGGTGGGGCAGCACACATCGGTGGGCGGCTACTGGAATGACCCGCATAAGCAGTCGCTGTACATGAAATACAGCGAATTCTTGCCGCTAATCAACAATGAGAAGCAGACCTCCAATTCCACCTCCTTCAAGATGGGCATGGTGCGCCTCAGCAAGCTGGTGATGATCGGCGGCCCCAATGACGATGTGATAACGCCCTGGCAGTCGAGGTTAGTCCACAAAATACAATAAAACATTTGAAATACGTTTAACATTCCATCTTTCAGTCACTTTGGCTACTACGACGAGGACCAGGAGGTGATTCCGTTCAACAAGCGAAAGATTTTCACGGATGACTCCATCGGCATTAGGACGCTGCAGGAGGCCGGAAAACTTTTAATCATAATCAAACCACATGTTCATCATTTAGGCTGGCACACAAACAGAGCGGTGATACATCAAGTTATCTTGCCATATCTGGACTGAGAATGGGGACAACCAACTGAACTGAAGCGACGGAAGGGCTGTGATCGGAATGAATCAAATAAGCAATAATGTGACGTTGCCATTATACTCTCTACACACTTACAGGGGGCACACAATGATCTTTCATAGACAATTTAGCAATAGAGGAATATTTACAAAGATTTATTTACGATCCTACTTGGGAGATTTATACAAATGTATGTTTGTGGCTATACAATTATGTATCAAATAACATGTACATGTATTGGTGGGCTCTGAATGATTCTATTTTTGAAACATTTTAAATATTTTCAAGCATTTTACACACAAAAATCCCATGAAAAGGTACTTTTTTTTTGCCTTTGCACATGTATCCATATAAACTAAATTGCATGACTTGCTGGATTAAATATATAAACAATTGCCAATAAAATCTTTAAAACGCAAACAATTTTCATATGATTAGCAGCTGGGAGACTTCGCGCGCTGTCGATAGATTATTTGACAGCAAAAACGATAGTGTTATCGATACTTCTTATCGGTATCGTTCATGGCGAAATTCGCGTCTCACTTTTAAAACATTTTAAACAAAAAACGCGCTTAAACCATAGCCATGGCAGACAGCAGCGCCGCTGAACAGGATGGCGATAATGTCATCCGCATTATGGTGGCCACCGACAACCACTTGGGCTACGGCGAGAAGGATGCAGTGCGCGGCGAGGACAGTTTTACCGCCTTCGAGGAGATACTGGAGCTGGCCGTGGCCGAGGATGTGGACATGATACTGCTCGGAGGCGACTTGTTCCACGACGCTGTTCCCAGCCAGAATGCCATGCACAAGTGAGTAGAGCACATCCCACACACACTGATAAGGATAGAGAAAACCTCGTTCGTGGCTACCCCCCCACAGGTGCATTGAATTGTTGCGTCGCTACACGTTCGGTGATAAGCTGGTGTCCCTGGAGATAGTCAGCGACCAGGCGCAGTGCTTCTACAATGCCGTCAACCAGTCGGTGAACTACGAAGATCCCAATCTGAACATTGCCATTCCCGTCTTCTCCATTCACGGCAACCACGACGATCCGAGCGGCTTTGGGCGTCTCAGCTCGCTGGATCTGCTGAGCACATCCGGGCTGATCAACTACTTTGGCCGCTGGACAGACCTAACCAAGCTCGAGATCAGCCCGATCCTCATACGCAAGGGCGAGAGCCAGCTGGCGTTGTATGGCCTCAGCCACATCCATGACGGTCGCCTGGCGCGTCTCTTCAAGGACTTCAAGGTGACCTTCGAGCGTGCTGGCCCTGGGGGAAGCGATGCCAGCACTGCTGACGCCGCGGAAGACGATTGGTTCCACCTGATGGTTGTGCATCAGAATCGCGCAGATCGGGGTCCCAAGAACTATCTGCCAGAGGAGCTGCTGCCGGACTTTCTGCACTTGGTCGTCTGGGGGCACGAGCACGACTGCCGCATTGAGCCCGAGTCGAATGCAAAGAAGGGCTTCTACGTGTCACAGCCGGGCTCATCGGTGCCCACCTCCTTGTCGGAGGGCGAGGCCAAGAAGAAGCACGTCGGCCTGCTGGAGATCTACAAGACCAAGTTCAAGCTGAAGGAGCTGCCCCTGCAGTCGGTACGTCCGTTTGTCTACGACTCAATTGTGCTGCCCGACAAGGCCGAAGAGCTGGGCCTCAACGAGGGCGATGCGTCCACAAAGGTCTACAAATTCGCACGCGAGCGTGTGGAGTCGATGATTGAGAAGGCCAAGGCCCAGCTCACGGGTCACCCGAAGCAGCCGGAGCTGCCCTTGATACGCCTGCGGCTGCTCTACACCGATGAGTCGTGTATGTTCAACACGATTCGCTTTAGCCAGATGTTCAGCACGCGCGTGGCCAACGCACAGGATGTGGTGCAGTTCAGCAAGCTGGTGAAGCGCACCAAGGGCGAAAATGTCCAGCTGGACAAGGAGGCCATGAGACGCGCCCTGGTGAGTGCCTCAACGAACTCCATTTAGATCTGTAGAGTAAACATGTTAATGTGTGTTTTAGGAAGCGGAGAATGCTACTCGCGTGGAGGAGTTGGTGGATCGCTACTTCGAGGAGGCCAAAACCAAGAAACCGCTGAAGCTTCTCCACTCGAAGGCGCTGGCAGAGATGACTTATCGCCTGGTGGAGCGTCGCGATGCCAATGCAGCGGAAAATATTGTCAAGTTAGTGGGAAATTATTAGGAATTGTCTCAATGCTCATTTGCAATGCTCTTACCGGCAGATTCTACAGGGAAAAGGCTGTGGAACATTTAATGGAATCAATGCCCAACGAGGAGAGCATCGACGATGAGCTGCAGAATTTCAGGGAGCGCTACAAGCACGAGGATCTGCTCAGAATGCTAGATGCACGCGGCGTCAAAACGAAGAATGAGAGCTCCGTTTTTGCATCGAAAGATGATGCCAACGGATCCACTGCAGCAGCCGCTGGCCGTGGCACGCGTGGAACGCGTGGACGTGGAGCTGCTCGTGGTCGTGCAGCGGCCACACGAGCCAAGCCACAGTTGGATGCTTCTGTGAATAATTCGGTGAGGCTATATTTTTGGGCTCAAAATGATTGGAGTTGACTCTATTAAATTCCCAAACAGCGCTCCTCGGGCAGACAGCAGACGCTAGCAAGCAGCGTTCGAGGCGCTAAGAACGTCCCGCCGTACGTTATATCGGATGATTCCGATTAATTTGTGCTACTCAGTGCCATCAATTGATTCAAATGCCTCGGGTCCTTAAATGTTTCATATAACTTCGGGGCATCAACCATTGCACATTCCTCAGCGCTTTTTGCTTTCATGGCTGATAAAAGCTACTGTTTTTTGTATAATACTCAACCTTAGATGTAAGAATGTGCCTAAAATCTTCGAAGAACAGACTGGCAATCTGTCTATCTAATAGAAGATTTTTGTCTGCGTTTGTTCAACTCCATATTTGTTCAGTCATGAAGTTCTCGTTGCTTTTAACATGTTCCCACAAGTCCATCACAACTAGTTTTAAGCTGTAAACATCTGTGTAAGCCATCTTCAAAGTCCTAAGATTAGTCCAAATGAAAGTTAAAGTCTCTTATGGTTCAACTCAATATTTGTTTATTATTTAAGATCAATCGGTCAGGGCTCTCTAGAGGGCTGGGCTCCAACTGTTAAATAGATTATCCTAAAACTTAAGATCTACTACTGTAAGGTTAGGGCCTGCTATGCCCAGGCTGTTTCTAGCCCGGCGTCTGTTTTTGTGTACGATTCTTTGGTTGTTTAGCTGCTTCAGGACTCCGCTGCCAAGAGCGAAGATTTCTCCAAACATCCACTAGAGCGAGAGAGGACTCGTTACTGCATCTGCGACTCGTAGTAGTAGCGATATGGATCCACCGAAGAGCTGACACCGGCTGCGGTCACACCCATGCCGGCATTCGTCTTGGACACGGGCCGAATGACGTAGGTGTTGCGCCTGCAAGCAGAGAGATGGACTCCTGCTGTGGGATCTACACCATGAAGGCGATGCTATGACTTACCTATTGTGCTCGCCTGCATGCACCTGGAAGCTCGTCTCTTGGCCGTTATCCTGCGAGAAGAGCTTCTTGAGTGCTATAATGCCGGCTATGGTCAGGGCCACCTTGCTGATGACCAGCGCCTTGCCAGCGATCGCCGCCAGCGCCTTGAGACCCAGCGGACCGGCAATGCCCATGGCCGTCAGCAGTGCGGCAATCACGTACTTGATGTGGCCACCCTCCTTGTGCTTCTTTTTCTTGTGGCCATGCTCACCGCGCCCCACCGACTCCGCGCCCATGTCCATGTCCAGCTTCAGCGTGTGGGTGCGCAGCAACTTGTCGGCTTTGGCGAGCAGCGCGCGATCGATGGGCGAGAGGCTGCCAAACTGTCGGGCATCCGTGAGGGAGCCCAGCACGCTCTCAGTCTCGGTGTGATTCTGTTTCTCCAGCACCAGGCCATCCATGATCTTAATGGAGTCCTGATCGAGTGCGCGCGACAGTGCATGCAGCGCCTTCTGCTTGAGGCAGCCAATGAAGTCGCTCTTGTCCTGGCAATCATCATAAACGCGACGCACCAGACTCATCTCCGGACCCAGGCCCAGGCCCAGTCCAAGACCCATGCTCCAACCGTTGCTGCTGGGTGTGGCAGCTGCCTCCACGATGCTGTGGCGTCGTCTCCGTTGCGTAGCTGCCGCCGAGGAGGACGCAATGCAGGCTACGATTAGCAGCCACTCGAACCGCTTCATGATGTGTCTCTGTGTGTTTGTGTGTGGTTGGGTTTTCGTATCCAAATCTCTGTCTAATCCTGTAGAATCGAGTGCTGCCAGTCGCCAGCTATCTTGGGATGCTACTGCAGCGAAATCGCTGCTCGGGCGATGCTTTTATAAATTGTCGGCGGCGCACTCAAACGGAAAGAATTGGCGTGCCCCAATGGTATGGATGCAGACGACTCCGAGCTTGGACCTGCACCAAGATCTGTTGCTGCTACTGTTGCTGCTGGTAGCAATTAACATTTTCCATATTTTGTTAGGCGTCTTTTTGGTTATCATCTCTCCGCTGACATGTTTTCGTTACTCACCCACGGATGGCTGCCCATTCATGTTCGAATCTCTCGCGATCGACGGGGGTGCCCTGGTACTGCTGCCTCCTGCTACCAGAAAGTGTATCTTTACTTTTCGATTTCTATATGCTAGATGAGATGAGATGAGATGAGATGTGCAGCTGGCAGTCAGTTCTCTCAACAGCAGGGGTATGATTACTTATTCATGGTTAATGCAATTCAATTTGGAAAGCGACGAGATGGTCTGTGAGGAAAGGTTGCGAAAGGGTTCTTATGGTTGATAAAAGATTACAAGATTTATAAGATTTATTAGCTATTATAAACAAGGGAGATTTAACCCCAACAGATGATTAATAGTAGTCAATGTGGCGACTTTTCCAAGGTCTGGAAGTTTGCCTTAAGTCGTCCCTTAACCTGTTCCAATTAATTATCAAAAATCCATGCTGCAAATTAGAAGAAATTTGTGTCGTTTCCATTTCAAAATCGCGATCAGTGGCACAGCAGAACAACCTCCACACATTTCATTGCAGTAACTCCTCAAAGACCTCTTCTATTTGGCTCTCTAAAAAAGAGAATTGAATCAAGTTTGAATGAGTCCAAACGGTTATTATTGACTGGATCTTTCAGCAGATCTTTTGCCTGGGAGTATTATGTACACAGTCCCCCGGGGGAGGCAACAACCGCTCCGAATAACTAATGCATCTTTATGATGCGTGCAGCAAAGTAATTAAGAGCAAGACGACGCTGCCACTGCTGGTTGCTGCCCCCTTGGACGTGGACCTGCTGCTGTTCATTGCTGCCTGCTGGCATAACCGAGTAGAGCTCTGCTCTGCTCTGCTCTGCTCGTGTGAGAATGGATGTTGCCGCGCAAATTGGTTATCATAAATTGCATCTGAATTGCCGGCTACGGAGCTGGTGCCAGGTGCCTGGTGCCTGGTGGCTGGCGGCTGACGCCTTGGCTGGGAGATTTCATGTCGATGGCGTCAGGTGATCGCTGCACATTTGGTTCACTGGCCCAGTGGGTGAAATTGAGTTTGGATACAGTTAAGAAATTTTCTTTTCGCTCGCCATTTGCGGGCACCCACTGTGAAAAATCAACGCCACAGCAGACCCCACACCCGCAGCCGCTCCTTGCCGCAGCCTGCGGCGTTTCGCTTTTGAAAGTGCACCGCGATCCAGCTGGTGACAGTTTTGGCTCTGAACTGACACTTTCCTATGTCTAGCTGGCTGCCATTTATGGCTGGTTATCCACCTACAATTCAGTGTAAGCTTAAGCCGCTTCTTGAACTATTTTTCGCTCAAACTTCGGCGAAAGTATCTCTCGGTAATTGTTATAGAGGGTAACAAAATGGGCTAATGGCTGGTTTCAATGGCTCAAGACTATTTGTGGTTCAAAGTAATCTGTGAGCACTATTGGAAGCGTTTTGATAGTGTCGGCTGGCAGTGAGAAAATGCACAGAATCTGGATATTCCATATAGATTCGACACTAGCCAGAGCATGTTGCTGGCAGACCCAAGCAAATATTTATTAATGAAATTTGTTCTTCCTTGTGCCTTCTTTGGGTTGGCGCACAAGAACTTTATGTATAACTCCTGGAACTCCTGGAAGTCTGTGCCTATTCCATAGAGTCTAGAATGAGTTCCACAAGCCATAAAGGTTTACGTGTAATTATTGTTTTTGATTTGTTCCTTCAATAATTCTGTAATAATTTGAAATTTGATGGATGCACCCCTCCAACTGCCTGTCATATATGCCGATATGTGCATTAATATGTACCCCATATAGAGCTGAGATACATAAATGAAAGAATGTAAGTACATAATACTCCATCTTTATAGACAAAAACACATCTATGAGTGGCACGCACACAAAACCTCTGCTCAAGAGGGCGTAAATAATTGAATACATCAAGAAAATTGGAAATGAAAGTTTCTTTGTTTTGGTTTGCCTTCGCCGCAGATACTTTTAGTTTCGATGCTTTGGCAGATAGCACGGAGATGGTTCCGGGCGCAGGGTCGACCCCAGCAGCACAGACAGACAATTGTGCGATTTATTTGCACATTTTGTCGGCCAGCCCAAGTCCTGAAGTTCGGAGAGTCCTCGTACGAACGTGTAGTCCGTACACGGACTAGGGCTCTTATCGTCAATAATCATCATATGCTCAAATTTTTGGTCGCTTAATTGGAAAATTGTTGTTGCTGTTGTGATACGCCTGAGCGATTGGGTGACTGGATGGCCGAATGATTGGTTTAGCTGGAGAGTGCCGTTTGATTGATGACCTCTGGATGGCTGTCTGGCTGACTGACCTCCACCGAGAGCAGTCTCCCCACATTGTTCTGCGGCATTGTAGTGATAATATTTATCCAGCCCAAACATAAACCCAATCCAAAAGCTTGATTGGCATGCCATCGAAGTGGTCTGCGGTCAGCCCCGGGGCCATGTCCTGCCATGGGGTGTGTGGGAGGAGCGCGATTGCGCAAAGCACAAGTCCAGCCACGTGCGAGGGTGGAATATTAGTTATCAAATATTTCGTCATATTTCATAACCCTCGCAGCTCCACCTACACTGCTTTGGTGGGCGTGGGCGTGGGCTGAGCTCTGCCCAAAATGGCGCTGGCTGGGCTGGGAAAGGGATGGATGCAGCTCTTTGAAGTTTTAGTTGAATTGGCAAATGACAGCACGGCACCCACTCCCCCCTACTGCTGCTGCTGCTGCTCCTTCCTTTTGGGAAAATGTTATATCAAAAGAAGTCGAAAACCACAAAGAAAATCTCAGCGGCAAATTTTCAGCTACATCAAATCATCGAGTCCTCCATGTGCCCGTATCTATATCTGTATCGGTACGTCCTGTGTGCACCTGCACCCTGCTAAATCTCTGAATCTCCCACTGCACTGCTCCTGTGGGGTAGACAAAGACAGTCCCGCCGACCGCCGCAGACGTCTGCTCTACCTCCTGTCCCCCATCTCCAGTCCCAGTCCCAGCCCCAGTCCCAGTCCCAGCCCCATCTCTGTCTCTGGCGGCTGCGGTTCGTTCCGCTTGCTGCCAACTTTCAACTACTTTCAAAGTTTTCACATTTTAAATTTGTTGGCTTGTTGCTGGTGCACAGATTTTTATTTTTTTTTTTTTTTGGGTTCGCCTGTCATCTCTGTTCTTTCTCTTCGTCTTCTTTGGAAGTTCTTTGTTTTTCTTTGCTGCTGTTCTTGAGTGCAGGTCAGAGTTTGACAGGGAATACTTCTGGGGGCGGAACCTATGCTTTTGTCTTGTGAGGGCAAGCAGCTAAAAGGAGCTTCACTGTACTTCTGATTTTCTATAGGTACACTAGAAAAATATGTTCAAATATTTGCAAGTTTAATTAATATTTTGACCTTTATTTTTCCTAAAAGAAATGTTTTTTCATGGTCTCGTTTAAATTGAAAAATTTGTAAATGCCTTTTTATTACACCCTTCTTTGGATAAGAATTTATTTTCAGCTGTAAGTGAATTTAGAATCCCAATAAAAAGTGGTTAATTTATGTATTATTTGATCGATCTTTTACTATCAATTGCAATGTGCTCTTTTTTGGGGTTCTTTTTTGCTTTATTGTATAAAAATATTTGTACATTTCTTTGTTCTCCTATTTATTTTGAGTAAATTCACTTGGCACCTTGGCACTCTTGTGTTCTTTGAGTGTATTAAATATTGCAAAAATCTAATGCAATTTACAAGCTGTTTGAGTGTTCAACTATGTAGAAGTATATGCAAGTATGTACTTTGTATTCATACATACATATGTACATACATATCGTATACCTGGTGTACATACTTGAGTGGCAGCTCTGATTTTTGTAAAAATGTTCCAGCATCTGCATCGGGGTGTTGCAAATGATGGCCAAATATGGGCTAGCATTTACAGGTTCATCCACATCCACATCCACATCCACAGGCAAACATGCAACGTCTCCCAGGCAGCTCGTTGCCACAAGCTGCGGTTGCTGCTCAAATTTGCTTGCACTACATATTTTGGAGTTTGCTGGCAGTTTGGCTGTTTCTTGCATACTCGTACACATACTGGTACATAAATGTAAAATGTAAAAATGTAAAATGTAAAAATAAATGTATTTAGAGATGGCCTAAGTTCTGCATGAGAAAAACACTTTCCATATTGTATGAATACTTAAATCGGTTTGTTGGAGTGTACAGGGATCCAAATGGGTATCCAAAATGCAGCAACAATCGCAGCAGATTTACCCCCACAACTTTCTATGATGAAACTGCTCCTTCCTTGCCCTAACATCTCAGTACGCTGGCATCTCTACCGTGTGCCAGTACATCTAATAAGCTCCCCTCTCCCCTCCCATCTCTAGACAAATCTGCACCTTGGGGTGTCTGGGATTGTCGATGTCTCCTTTGTTCGTGCAGTTTTTCGCCTTCATCGTTATCGATTCCGAAGCGAGTTGAGCTGGAAAAATGTTTTCGTTTTAGCTGCTGTTTATCCTTCTCTTCTCTCCTCTCATTACTTTCTTATGGCTTTGGCTGGGCGTGCCAATGTGGGCGTTGTGGGTGGTGCGGGCAGAAAAATAAATTGTTGCAAATACAAACAGAAATATAATTTTTGTTGCTTGGAGTACACAGAGCCACATATTTATGGCATGCCAGCACGTACGGCGATAGATTGCAACCCAATCGCATGGCAGGGGGATGGGTAGAGGAATGGGGTTCCTGCCGGAGCGGTTTTATTTATTTGGTAAACTTCGTTTCTATCGCCCACAACCGAGCGACAGGAGGAGGAATGGGCAAATGGCTAGGAAAGCGACGCCATGTTGAATGCGTTGAATGGTGGGAGGATGGCTGGCTGGCTGGCTGGCTGGGGTGGCTGCCTGGGTTGGTCCTCACCCGGTTACCGTCAGCGTCACCATCATAAAAGCAAGGACCCCAAGCAGAGCAAGGCAGGGACTGCTCCATGTACTTCGTGTTTGTTATGCTTGTCAAGCATTTTGCGCGGGGCTGTCTAACGATATTTCGATTTTGATATCTTTTGCTGTTATCGTTAAATGTCTGTCTGATGATGGTCCAAGCAGCGAGGGTGCAGAGCCGAGGAATGACACTTGTATACAATGTGCCATGTTGATTATGGTCTCATTTTTGGTATTTACTTTTCATTTCATTTATCCCATAGTCAAACGTGTTGGCTGGGAACTTGGTCGAGGGTTGGGGTGCAATGTACCTCTCTTTTATCATAATCGTTGCTGCCACAGACCTGGGCCGTAGATGTTCATGTGCGAGACTTTTAAATTAGCACTCAAATGTGTCAAGAGCAGCAGCATCATCATCATTATTCCACGAACCTGAGGAGACCAACCGAACGACCCTCGTCCACGTCTCCTCCAAATTATGCTCCCATGTATGGGCTCTGTTTTGACATGGGTCCGGAGTAGGCCTTCTCTTCTCCCTTCATATGTCATAATTATAGCTGCTCCCATTTGGCCATCCACTTGCTCTTGGACATTGATAATTGGCGGCAAAAGTATGAACTTCGGTGCCCCCGGCTGACCAAGTCTAGACGAAAAGTGTCTGAGGTTCTGAGTTCTGAGTTCCTGGACCAAACATAATTATGTATTATGAAGAGAGTTTGCAGGGTTTTGGGGAGTCAAAACATAACAAATTGGAACTCCACTTATATAAAGTGATTGCACCTGTAAGTGCAAGAGAGCAGGGGGATAAATCTGAATATGGCAGGACCCGGACACAGTGAACCCATTAAGCAGCAGCCGCGAGATAAACTCCACCAGCCAGCAGGCACGCGATGGCAATGCCAATGCTTGGGTGTGATTTATGTGGCTTTTAGGATATTTTATTAAAATGCATATTCGTTGCTCGGATGTCACTGGCGTCCGTCGTTGAATGTTTATGATTTTCATAAGCTCAGCGGCCATTGGCTACCAACATGCAGAATGGAGGATGGCCAGACCGGGATGGGAACTGGGCTTGGGATCGGATCGGATCGGATCTGCCGACGCAGAAGTTGTTCTTGTACGGCGGCAGTGTTGTACGTCATAAATTGTCACCACTCGAGCACCGATGTCCGACTGTGTGCAGTGCTGCAGATCGGCGTGGCAGGCAGCCAGTGTCAGGTGAAGATATTGTATCTGATCGCTGCGACGGTTGCGGGTCGTAAACAAGTGTGGGGCAGCCAGCAACCATTGCATCCTTGCCTCCACTCGACATCATTCGACTTCTCTTTGGGTTTAATTAAAGCAGTTTGCTTGTCTTCTGCTCGAGAGAGAGAGAGAGAGAGGGAAGTGACGTTGGTTGGGGCTTAGTGCCGGGATCCGTTTATCAGTTTATTTAAATTTTGTGTGTGTTTCCTTCTGCATGTGCCGCGTGGAATGCAAAGACCGAGGGATTCGGCGTTCGTATTGTATTTATGCCCATAATCAGGGCGCATGGAATCCCGTTAAGTCGCGTCATAAGGCGGTGCGCCATTTTCGCTTATCTACGACACAGATTCGGTTACAGCTTACAGCTTACAGCCGGCAGAGCCCCGCCCACAATAACACTAAGAAGGAGGCAAAGGCTCAATCTGATGCTCAGTTTTATTGTTGCTGCTGAGAAATTGGATTCGTATCGTATCACACACACACACATACGTGAAGCATATATGTACACACACACACGTATGTGAGTAATACAGTTTATGGCAACTCATATCTGAAAGATACACCCACCAGAGGCACTGGCAGTCGCCATTTTGGCATAAAGCGCAGAACGAGGCGAAGCGAAAGCGAACGAACGGACGGACGAAAGGAGAACACGAAAACGAACGAAGAAAAATGTTAATAAAATAACACAAATATGGCAGAGGGAAATGCTGCTCGTTATGTGAGGATTTCCATCGGCTTTCCGGCTCTCTCTCGCCTGCCTTTGGCTTTGGCTTTTATTTTTATTTTATGTATTTGCCACATAAGCAGCTTAAGTGGCAAAGCGGAGCAGTAAGGGAGATGGCAGTCATTTACATATATACATCAAGATTTACATATACGTATGTACATACATTTATGTACACACTTTGTATTGGCATATCAAAAGCAAAAGGATCAGGGGCATAATGCCGACGTCGCCGCATGTGCCATAATTTGCAGAAAAGTGCCAGAACAGCCCAAAAACCGAAACACCCCAGCCCCAAGCCCAGCTGGAACCCCAATTTCGAGCCTCCACTCCCCATTAAAATGCCTTTCGAACAAGGATAACATTTTGTTTTCTTTTCTGCCTGGCTTTGCCTTTCGTTTGCCTCGTTTCGTTTCGTTTCGTTTGCCACATGGAAAATGGAGAGCAGGCAGCTGGCAGATGGGTGGACGAGTGGCTGCAGAAATGGGTGCAAGCCATAAAAACAATAGCGCACATAAATTTTGCACAAATATATAAAGTATGTATGCAAAAAGGCATAAAACGTACCGAAAAGGGGGAGCAAGGAGCGGGCAAGTGGGAAAAATGAGCCAAGGGGCATCCCCATACCAACCAACCAACACACACACACACACACAGAGCACATGCATATGCATGTATCGTGTATCGTAAAACATAAGGAAGGAGAAGCAGAAGAAACGGAATGAAATATTTGCGATTTTCGTTTGTTTTATTCATTTCTTTTTTGCTTTTTTTGTTTTGCTTTTTGGCTTTCAGCTGTGTTCTCATTTCATTTCGCTGTGATTTGGTCGGAATTTTAACGAGGCCCGATATGGGTGCGAACTTGTTAAGGGGGCCCATTGGGCAGAGGGTATTTGGGGGTCGTTAGAGACTCCCAATGGGGCGGGGGCATATGCGTTTGTGGTATGCGATTCGAAAGTGTGTGTGTGGGCTGTGGGCCAGGCCTGCATGCAGTTTGCCTTGAGTGTCTAAGGATAATCGTGCATTAATGCGAGAATATTTGCTTACAAAATCGACTCCAACATCATCTGATGCCTTTTCCATATGTTGGAGTTGCCGTAAAGTCTGCCATTCACTCGCCTAATGGCTTCCCGTTGCAGTTCTCTACGGGTCATCCGAAATTGTGCGATATCAATCTTCTACACTTGAACTGTGAGCACGGAACAAATGCCAGTGCCAGAGGGCAGTCACGCATCTTTGGCGGGGTCACAGATGTTTGCATTTGCTTCCATCATCATCGATACCCGTAATTGGACATCGAACCCTGGTCCAGGCATCCCATTCCTCCACCTTTCAACCGTGTGCAATATGTGCGCAAGTAATTGTGATTTTCCGTGTTTTCCGTTTGATTTTCCACTCAGTTTCGACCCACCCCCAAGTACTACATGAATTTGTCGTTTTCAGAAATTTATGCTTTTTAGTTTATTGCTGAATGGAAGGAGCAGCAGTAGCAGCAGGAGCAGAAGGAGCAGTGCCAGAGCAGGGTCAGGGTGTGCCTGCATAGTTTTATGAGTGGACCTCGGGTGTGTCCAGTCCGGGACCAGCCAAGTCGATGTGTAATTGGGAATTTATTAGTCGCTGGAGACTCATTTACATTTCTCCCACTTGCAGGGAGGTTGAACGTGGAAGCCCAAGTGTGGGCGTCACCCACACACAAGCTACTGTAATTATTAGTATTCTTTTATTTATGGCAAGACAAGTTTTGATTTATCAAGGATACAAGCAGAATGCCAAAGACAAATGCGTCGAGTTGGGTAAATAAATTTCGCCTCTGATTTATTACTAATTGTCAGTCACAAAGGACTTGAGGCGCACCTGGCAATGCGATCGGGGTCACCATTTCGGGATATTTCTTGCAATTAAATCGATAACATTCATGGGGAGAAGCTTCTATTATGACTTGGCTTGAGCTGAGTTCTCTAGTCAGTTTTATTGTGAGATTAGATCTGAGAGACAGATTATGGCTTAGTCCATATTTCTAACGATCCACTCCCTGTACGGATAGATGCGCATAAACATGCCGGGGAAGGAGAAGCCAGTTTTTAGTGTGGATCCCACATTGATGATCGCAATCAGATAGTAGCTGGACGGATTTCCATAGACCACATTGACGCCCATAAGCGGAGCGCCAGACAGGAGGATATCTTCGCTAGAGACTAAACCACAGATGCGGTTCGAGGTAGCTTGGAACTGGTCAAAACCTGGATGCGTCTTGCAGTACTCCGAGCCGAGGGTGTGCACCTGGTGCTTCGAGCGATATTTACCCTCCGGCCTCAGATCGCGGGCGAAGGCCACCATCTCGAGGCGCTGGCCAATGTGGTTGCCCTCGATCTCGTGGTCCGGCGGCAGGCAGATTGGCTGCACAAACTCCCCGAAACGAACGTTTCGATGTAGTTTGGCCAGGGCGATGTCGTTGTCGTAATGCAGCCCATCGAACTGCGGATGAACAGCCAGCTCCAGGATAGTGTAGGACTCCGGCGGAGGCGCACAACTGCCCCCCGCCATGCAGTCCCTCCGTTGAGTGTCCCGGTTGGACTTCCAGTCTCCAAAAAGTATATTCGAGGCCTCCATGGTATTATCCACCAGTATGCAATGAGCCGGGAGAATCGCGTGCCTCTCGCTGAGGAGTACAGCGAGACAGCGGTACGAATATTCCTCGGTGTCCGACTTGTTGACGAAGCTGTAGCCCACACGTCCCAGCCACGGGTGCTCATCCGGCTCGGTAATTTCCTTCTGGTTGTACAGCTGCGTCTGCCTTAGTCTGCCACAGTTCAGCTGCTGCTGCTGCGCCTGGATTGCTGTGGGGCACACAGAGATTTCAGCTGAGTTTCAGTTCGGGGCAGGGTTTTTCCCTGACACTACTGTGTCTATTACTTACGTGATAAGAGAATGGGCAATACCAATAACCCAGTGAGAACCGCACAGGCGCCTCCCAACATAGTTCCAGTGCAAATTAATCCAAACCGATTCACGTTTGCCGGATGACTGAACTTTATTAGTATTAAGTGAAACAGCGATAAGTGGACATTGGCAAAGCTTTCGCCAAGTGCAACTCATTGCAAAAGCATTGATGATGCGCTATTCCCAACGGGGTATAGAAGTTCCGTTATATTGTTCTTCAATCATTCGAGTGCCACTTGCTTGCCGATCCGATTGCTGAGCGCAGCTTCGGACAACAACAGCAAATGTAGAGAACGAAGCGCGAGTTGGGAGAGAGCTTAAAGAGAGAGCACATGGCGCTCGCGCCCACACCAGCTGAAAGCAGAGTTGAAAGCGGAGACGAAAAATACAAAAACACTGCTCTGGTGCAAGTGCGCACATGGCTGCTTAGCTGAGATGAAAGCTCTGCCATCGATCACTGATGAGAGAGTAGCAGTGAAGCCAGTGAGAAAGCTTTAAAATAAAAACAAATATGAGAATTTGTAACAGCAAAAATATGCAGCTGGAGTTTAGATTTCAACGATAAAATGTTAGAAGAAAATAAAATAAATGTGTTTCTGGCTATATCCCCATACTGCTCCAAAAAAAACCCACCCAACACCGTAGCTCAAACTGTCCTTCATATGTTTAATTTAAGCCTCGTAATTGTGTTCAATGTAAAAGTCCTTGCCCATCAGTTCACGCATAATCTTATTACGCACATCAGAGTCAGTCTATGTGGGAGACGGAGGCCTTGAGCTGCAAATCGGATGGGGGAAAAAAGAGCGTAAAATTTCAACAACGTCACCAATTTCCGGCAATTATTTCGACTGTCGGTCGATTTAATTTATTCGTTGCTCAAAATTAAAACCAAACCAAAACAAAGAAATCCCCTTGTCCAACTGAAGCGACATTGTAAACAGGCCACATCCCCAAAACCCAAACCCAAACCCAAACCCACTTCGAAACCCAGTCCCCTGTCCAGGCAAGATCCTGTGCTACGTCTCCAGCTCATGCTGTGTTTGTTGGTGCGATTTTTCATTCCAGACGCAATTGGTTTTCAATTCATGGCCATGTAATCCACTTCCCCTCCTCCGCCCGGGTGGCTCCATGGGATATTTCTGGGGATTTATGTTGTTTTTTTTTACGCTCTCATAGACCAGACCAGGCTGAGGTCTGTGTGGGGTCTGTGCATATTATTAGCGAGCGCCGCGTGACTGTGACTCGAGTTGAGCTTTTAATCGAATGCACATAATTGCCAAAATAAATCAATCAATTCGGCTCGGCTTCCCTCTAATGAGAACTGACAGTCGCCCAGTCATCGCTCCACTGCTAGATCCACTCTCCCAGTCCCTCCTCGGGGTCCATGGTAGGCTCGAGGCATAAATTACCATCCCAGGATTTAATATATTCTCGAATGATGCTTCATAAGCGGCCGGAACAGGGCAGACCCTTAACGACTTGGTTTACGTGTCATTTGACTTTGGAAGGTGCGCCCCCTGGCTAATGCCTCCTCTTAGCCGAACATAAAGATCCATGTTCCAAGTGATAGCGATCTTTCTGTCTGCCCCGACACGTGACTCCATCCTCGCGCCTGCATTTCGTTTTGTAATCCGCGATGACACGCTCCGCTCTCTCTCTCTCTCTCTCTGACTCTTTGCGTCCATTATGAATTTGACAAATGGAGCGCAACTGTCCCGGTGCCCCCAGACAGACAGACAGGCAGAAGGGGGTAAGTCTTTAGGTGATGCCGGGAGTGCGTGCGGGATTACGTGTCAAAGGATTAGCGACAACACGAGCCAGCGGCACTACCCTGTGGCACGAGAGAGAGAGAGCAGCTTTGAGAGTTTTTCCATGATAAGAATTGATTTAATATTGAAGCAGGCAGTTGACTGTGAGTATTTATCATAAGGCAGTTGATTAGATACAAAAACTTATATTTCTAGAATATTATTGACCTACTTTGACAACAATTTCTAAATCCAATCAGGAAGGAGTTCTTGATTCCAAAATCTTCCCAAAATCCAGAACATATTTATTATCCCATTGTCGCTGATTGCCGGCCACCTTATGACGCACTTCCCGCTGTGTTCAAAAATGCTCGCAAACAAATTTGCGTTGGAAAATGTTCAACCATAATTTGGTGTCGACACCAAAAAGCACAAGCGAAGGTCGTCGTGGCAGTGGGCTGAGATCTGCCGGAACTGACGGGCGCATTATTAGCCGCAGGGGGAGTTCCAAAGGATGAGGCTGAAGCCTCGAAGGGGTGTTTTGTGTGTGTTTTTTTTTTGGTCCACGGGCTGCGGCAGTCCACAATTGAATTGTAAAAAAACGAACTGCAAAACGCATTTTTCAAAAACGACAAACAAACGAAAAGTGAAACGGAAATGAAAACAAACAATGGAGGGCCAAGGAAAACAAAGTAACCTGAGAACTCGCCAAGGGTTTCCGAATTGCTACTGAGAGTTCAAACGAAACGAGGAATACGCTCATGATGATGATGATGATGATGCTGATAGACCCGCAAGGGGAGTGTGAAAAATGAAATAAGTGTGAACAAATAGAAGCACACAGTAGGACGAGTCTCAGTTTTTTGGGCAAAGTCAAATGGATAGAGCGACACAAGGGGTTGGCACTCAACCAGGGGGTTGTAGTCCACCGTTTGGCAATTGTGTTCTGCTCAAGTCCCAGCGATATGTATACAACCAATAGTCGTGGCATTAAGCAAACACCAAACAGTTATCAATCAGTTTTTACATATGCAACACAACAAAAATCAACAGCACCCTGAGATGGATAATGTGGAGAATTTGGGAAAAGGCTTGGAGTGGAAAGAGAGAGAGAGAGCCATGAGCTGTCACTCATAGATAGGTGGAACTACAGACCCTTCGGGTGCATCCAAATTGAGTTAGAGAACAAGTTTCCCGATTGAAGTTTGAAGTTTTCAAAACTAACAAAAAATGTGAGTATGAAGCAATTTTTTCAGAGACTCTTTTGCAGGTCACAGAGTTCTCAGAGTTCTCATACGCTAGGTGCATATTCCATTGTGTTTTAAGATTATATTTCGATCCATGCTTCGGTCTCTAAAGTGACATTCCATTCCGCTGTCACACTGTTTCCCGTAGCGCAAATTTGGAAGCCGGCCGCTTGTGTCTTATTTCCTCTCCTGCATTCGATTGTTTTTTTATTGGTGTATATTCTGCACGCCAGTTGGTGCGTTGATGACCGTTTAAGCAAAGTGTCAGCCGAGTGGAGCGACCAGGACCGCAGATGTCCTGTCCCGAAACCCAATGCCTGTCCCGGCAGGAAGCCCCAGGAAGCGGCGACCTCATTAAGGCAGCAAAGTGCAGGCCAATTGCAGGGGCCCGCACTTGGCCCCCGGGCATAAATCACGCCATTTAATAACTAATAAACGCCATCGTAGTCGCCGTCGTTGCTGCTGTGATTGTCGTCGTTGGACTCCACCCAAGTGGCAGCTGTCAGCTTGTCAGCGGCGAGCGAAGAGCGTGAAATAATCGCCAGACGCGACATTGGAACGGAAGGAAAGGCAAGCAAATGGACAGGGACAACGGCCTCTGCCCAGTGTTCGTGTCAAGTAAAAAGCACCCCAGAGGAATCCATCAGTTTTGGGATTTTCGTATATTAAGTCATCATTTTTAGCCCATGCCCCATGCTGCAGCTCCCACGGGACAAGTCCCAGTCGAGTGTGGGGTCAGCCTGGGGAAACTTTAAATTGAAGCTGCGACCAAGGGTAGAGAGTGAGTGAATGGTTGGATGGAGGATGTATCTGCCTTTTGTGCTCATGATTACTGACTACAAGGAAAGTTAAGTGCCACAGCCAGGGGTGTGGTGGTGGAGTAAAGCTCTGGGATATCGCTCCTTGTTCGTGTTTCATTGGTGGTTAATGTCGGACATGTTGGGCCACGAGAAACGTGTGGGCGGTGGAGAGTTATGAAACAGAAAGAAACATTTTAATAGGGAATAAAGAGGAGCAGATTCCAAGGAACTTTTTGGCTCAACAAACCAGCAGCTCTTAGCTTAGTTTTTAACCCAGTTTCATCTAGTCTGCAACTATTTTGTGTACCCAAAATTGTATTTCTTGTATACCCAAAAGTATGCTACAGAATGTACTGGAAACACCTTTGCCATGACTTTGTTTTAGATCTCTCGAAAAACGCTCTTCAAAATTCCTCTAAAATTAAGCAAATTGTCGAATACAATTGAAAGTCAATTCCAAGTTCTTGCCACCCACCCACTTGGCCTGCACTCATTTGCCTGCAGGGGTGGTGGAGGTGGTTGGGTGGCCATTAAACCACCTGCAAGCCAGCCAGGCTTGGTTCTTGGTTCCCCCGGGGGCGGCCCAGCACGCTAATGCGTCAAAATCCTTCAACTTTTCGCAGCATTTGCGCACAATGCGGTGGAGGCGTGGCTGCTGGAGAGCCTTTCAACGTAAACAGAAACAAAAAGAAGGCAGAACAGCAGCCAGAAAAAGTGAGATAGAGAGAGAGACTGACAAAAGCATTTGAATTGACAAGTGCCATCAAAATAGAAGCGGAATTAAATTTATCATGCCAAGTGGTGGTGGTGGCAGGCTCAAGGATGCTCTCTCGAGGGGGTGGAACAGCCAACAACCAGCAACAAAGCAAACTCCGGCGTCATCGATCAACTGGAGCGTGAGACAGTTCCGCCCGGAAGGAAGACGAACTTTTAAATATTGAATAATATGTTTTCTTTATTCTCTCACCACTCAGACAGAATCTGACAAACCTTGAGCCATAATGATGGGCCGAATGATGAGCGAGAAGTGCTGCAGAAATGCTCTGATGGATGTGTCCAGAGATGACTGAAAATGTTGTGCAAGGTTGCTGTGTGGCTTCTGGCATAGAGAAAACATAATGGAATATGCCACATTAGCTTCCATTTTCGTAACAAAACATTTTGAATGTGATTTAATTTTAATTATTTAATTAGAACTGAGCTCCGACACGCTTCCTGCAGCTCAGATTACACTGCGCGACACGTGACTACGGCAAAGCCGTATTGGCATGCCATGAAGCCTCAGCGTCGTGTTAACTATAATCCGCTTAGCGTTCATAATTTCT